ATTTGCAAACATTCTTCTATTTTCATACTCTATACTGAATAATTCATTATATTCATTTTATTCATTTACAAATAATAAGATGAAAATTGTAAAAATTCACTTATAAACATATTGACTTCACATTCGATTTACAATTTAAATTTAAGAATACATATATAAATGTAGGAACAATTAGATGATATATTGAATCGAGAATTATTGTCAAAAATTCGAGATTTATGAATATATCATACATATTATATTTAATAATAAATTATGTTTATATAATATAATATCTATATCATATTATATTATATCATATATCAAACTAATAGATACCGGAAAACAACTAAAAACAAAATGAATTATATATTAGATAATTCAAACATATTATAACAATAAACTTAATTTAAAGATATCGATATTGAATCGATTAGAATAATTGATGTAAACATCAACACTCACCTTTTACAATAAAATAGCTAATCACAAAACGAAACACATCCGACTTTGCTAATTGATGAATTCGTTGTCCAGTGGAATGTCGAACGAGACAAGAAGAAGATGCCTATCGTAAAATCGTAGTTATGCAACAGGCAACTGGTGGTATACACACGCGACGTAGTCGATCCAAAACGAAACGTCAGTGATCATACCGCCACCGTTACCGTCACCGTTACTATTACTTTCTCAGCTTGTATCGCTATCGTTATTATCATTCACATAAAAGAACACAAGATATTATCGAACACACGCAATAACATGATAATCGAATCAGAATCGGCCGAGATGTAAGACCGAACGACACGCGAAAGAATGGCGTGAAAAAAAAATGTAAAAATACAGATAAAAAAAATATAATGATATCTAAGTAAACTCGTAGTACACAAGTCACCGTTTTCACACAGTCCAAAGAGAGAGAGAGTAGAACGTTTCGAGTGATAATTAAGTAAAAATTTAACAAGATTTAAAATACGTCGCAAACACCACGTTCTCTGTTTCATTACACTTGCTCGCACAATGTCTGTATCGTCCGCACTGGCACTCGCGTCTGCACTCGACTTCGTCATCTTCTACAATTCAACTTCGTCTATTTCCGTCATTCTTCGACTTTCGCGGCAACAATGGCGCACATTCGCGTTTACAAATTCCGTTCGTCATTATTTATGTTATATCGTCAAATTTCTTTTGTCAATGAATAAGATAAGTATAAAATGTAAGCACATAAATATATATATATATATATATATATTTTTTTTTTTAATATAAATGGAAATTAA